TTAAGGTAAATAGTGCACCAAAGTCCCTATATATCTTTCAATTTGTTCGAAATTTGGCATTGCCTTGTGTATTAAGTCTAGATAGATGTGCTTTAAATTTCGCGAAAATCAGTTCAGATTTAGATATAGCTCCCATATATATTTTTTCGTCCAATTTTATGTAAATGGTGCACCAAAGTGCCTATATATCCTTCCATTTGCACAAAATTTGGATTTATAAGTAAATGAAGAACTCAAAATTTGGCCGAACATGTGACAAGTGTCGATTATATCGGTTTAGATTTCGATATTTTGCTTTAAATTTATTTACATAATTTTGTACCATTGTAAGAAGCAACTCTATATCTGACCAAAATTTAGTACAGGTTGTAATATAACATGCTTAATTTCATGTTAATGGTCCTTCAAAAATGCTACGTCTGTTAGGATTCCATCTATTGAATATACCCAAAGTGGGTATTATATAGTCGGTCCCGTCCGACTTTACTACTTTCCTTACTGTTTTTTTTTTATTATTTTTTTTTTTTTTTTTTTTGTATAATGGACTCAGTAGGATCGGACAATTTAGTTGCTTATAGACATAGTAATTTGATTTGTGAAGCATGTACATGCAGAGGACACTAATGAGAGTAAATATGTTGTGAAGTCGTTTAAAACGTTCAAGACAACCTGTGCTAACTTGTTCTCTTGCTGAGAACTTAAGAACTCTCAGCTCTGGTGCATAGCGTTCGACTGTATCATGCGAAAGGAATATCCAATTTGATTCAAACTTTTCACAACCATATATTTGAACCATACCTAGATATTGTTGGAAAATGCAACTTATCGTCGGCAACTTATCCCTACATAAATATAAATCCAATATTAAGCGAATGAAGTGTCTGATTTTACCCAAAATTTACACATCGTGATATTATCACTAATTCTAGAAAAAGTCCGAAGATAGGACTCATCAAAAACAATTTTAAATTTTTATAAATCCAATATTAAGGGAATGCAATATCCGATTTGACTCAAACTTCGCACATCGTCGAATTTTTAAAAATTCTGGATCAAGTTCAAAGATGGGATTGTTCGGCCCATTCTCTCTGATACCTCCCAACGAAGGGTAAATATTTTGAAAATTTGTTCGTCCAATCTATGGAATGTCCGATTTGATACAAAATATGCACATCGTAAGAATTCTTTAAAGATTACATCGAAAATGGGATCCATCTGTCTACTTCTTATGTTGTAAGATGGGATCTATCAGTCCACTCCTTATATTTGAAAAATTATAAATCTCATATGAACGGAATATCCAATCTCATTGAAATTTTGCACATCGTAATAAGTTAACCTTAAATAGGTAAACTCTTTTTCATTCTGGTATATTTTTTTCCATTATGATAGAGAGACAATTATAAAATTCCAAATTATAAAATTCCTCATTCTATTCAGACAAGAATCCTTTCAAACTTCCAAGTTAAGCTTGTTTCTATTACTTTGAGCGACAATGGATTTAATGACGTTAGTTCAATTTAGTCCTGCAAAATATGTGTTAAAACGACATCTGTCGTAAACAATTAAAGCTTAGGATATAATTTAATGTCAAAGCTTTTTGCACAAGCTCTCCCAAGGATACTTGTAGTAGAGAAATCAGCCCTCAAGCTCTTTATAACAGTTATAAAAAATAACTCTAAATCAAAAGCTAAGAAATCAACCCCTGTAATCTTTATATAACTTAAACACAGGCATGAACTACAGTACAAATGTGTTCTTCAAAAAAAAAAAAAAATCCCTCAGAGCATTAATAACGATACCGTAAAATTGTTAAAACACGAAATTGAAATGACTAAAACGAAATTGATGCGACAAAAATCATAATACGGGGGTTACCCTGTGATAATCATTTACATACTCTTTGTAATAATTTAAAAATCTGTTCAAAAATATTTTGATTTCCTTTTAATGTTATAGTAGAGATGCTATCGTCTACACTTTACAATGTGATGCACATTCAAAATTCTTTATATGGTTCATCACACTGTGGTACAGGGTATTATGTCTTTGTGCACAGTCAAGAGGAAACGAGATAGACACGTGGTTGCTTTTGGGAATATGAGTAGAATTACTCTAAGTTGATTTATGCATGTCCGTCCGTCCATGTATTTTTGTGAACAAAGTAGAGGTCGCATTTATGATCTGAATTGAAAAAAACTTGGCCGAATTGGATAAAACAGCCTATTTATTTAGCTCAAGGACGAACCCTATTGAAATTGGATAAAATCGATTCAAATTTATATATAGGTTCATATATATATATATATATATTATCCGATTTTATCTAAATTGTGCACAAACTCCGAATATTTATCGGACAAAATTTTGCACAGCGTTCATTTTGTTGTCTGTGAAGTTTTGAAAAAATCGATTCAGATTTACATATAGCTTCATCCGATTTTATGTAAATGGTGCACCAAACTCCCAATTTTTGATCTGATTGAGGCGAAATTTGGCGTAACGTATGGAATTGAGATTGGGACAGAATGTGTTAAGTTTCTTTGAAATTTGGTCAAATTTTAATACAGCACCCATTTATAGATTCGTCCTATTCTATGTAAACTCCCAACATTTGTCCGATTGAGACCAAATTTTTCATAGAGAACTGAATTAGGTCCACTTTAATATCTGTGAAATGTTGTTGAAATCGGTTCAGATTTAGATATAGCTCCCGTATATAGTGTCGACCGATTTTAGGTAAATTGTACACCAAACTCCCAAGGTTTGTCAGATTGATTGAGACACAATTTTGCATGGCGTACTTAATTAAGTAAAGTTCGATGTCTGCGAAGTTTTGTTGAAATCGGTTCATTTTATATACCCCATATATAACCCCCCCCCCCAGTTTTCGGTATATTGGGGTTCTTGGGCTCGTTTTATAACTGAATTCTCAGAAATTTAGTACATTCGGTTCTTATTGTGTACCAAATTACACCACTAAAAATTATAAATATACGTACGTTTTTCTGGTAGTCCCCATATAACGGGGCCCCCAAAATTTTGATATTTTGGGGGTTCTGATCGTATTTTTCGACCGAATTGACTGTAATTTAGTACGTCGAGTTCTAATTTGGTAGCAAATCTCTCCACCATAAATAATAAATATAGGTCAATTTTTTCGGGTAGCCCCCATATAAGGGTACCCCCCAATTTTGGGGGTTCTTGAACGCGTTTTTCAACCAAATTCTTTGTAATTTGGTTTTTTGTAGTCGTATATGGTAACAAACCTCCCTCCCAAAATTTATTAATATTCGCCCCCTTTTAGGTTTGGTCCCCTTATAACCCCCTTTTTATACCCTTCACCGCACAGTGGTGGTACAGGGTATTTTGTCGTTGTGCATATGTTTGTAACAGGCAAAAATAATCGAGATAGACCCATGATTCCTTTTGTGAATATGTATAGAATCACTTTCTGAGTCGATTTATGTATGTCCGTCTGTCCGTCCATGTATTATGTATCCATACAGATCGCATTTATGATCCGATTTGGATGAAATTTGGCACAGGTCACTTAATTGGCCCAAGAACGAACCCTATTGAAATTGGAGAAAATCGGTTCAGATTTAGCTATAGCTCTCATATATATTTTCGCCCGATTTTAACTTATTGATGTACCAAACTCCCAATAGTGATCCGATTGAGACAAAATTTTGCACAACAAAACTTATATGCCAACAAAACTTATATGCCAAGTTTTGTTGAAATCGGTTCAGATTTATATATAGCTCCGATTTTTAGTTTCGTCCGATTTAATGTAAATATTGCACCAAACTCCCAATAGTGGTCCGACTAAAGCAACATTTTGCACAGTGTACTGAATTAGGTCCCGACTTATGTATGAGAAATTTTGTTGGAATCGGTTCAGATTTATATCTAAATATGCTATATATAGTTTCGTCCGATTTTATGTAAATGGAGCAGCATACTGCCAATATTTATCCGATTGAGACAAAATTGTGTACAGGTTACTAAATTAGGTCATGATTTATGAATGCGAAGTTTTGTTGAAATTGTGTCAGATTTACATATATCTCACATATGTATCGTCCGATTTAATGTAAATAGTGCACCAAACATCGAATATTGGTACGATTGAAGTACGTTCCGACTGATGAATGTGAAATTTAGTTGGAATCGGTTCAGATTTAGATATAGCTGCCATAGTTTCGTCCGATTTTATGTAAATAGAGCACCATACTGCCAATATTTATCCGATTGGGACAAAATTTTGCACAACGTACTAAATTATGTCATTGATGAATGTGAAGTTTTGTTGAAATCGGTTCAGATTTAGATATAGCTCCCTTATATAGTTTCGTCCGATTTAAAGTAAATTGTGCAAAATTTGGCACAGAGTACTGAATTAGGTCCCGACTGATGTATGCGAAATTTCTATATCTACAGGATATTGTAGGTATTAAAATGTATTGCATGTACCCATAGTGGTGAAGGGTATCCTAGAGTCGGCCCCGTCCGACTTTACTACTTTCCTTACTGGTTTACTATTTTACCTAGTTTACCTATTTTAAATGTCGTCGTCATAGTAGAGGGTCTAAAAAATCGGGCGGGTCGAACTTAACACTGTTTTAACTTGCCTTTATTTCATACAATTTATGTGCAACTCTGTTATAGAACTCATTAGTATGTTTTCATTGTTCAATGCTAGAACCAAACTTTTATTGCAAGCCCTATAAATCGGTTACCTTAGCAACCCTAAGTGGTTGCTTAGCAACGTCATATGGTTGGTTGTATCAGGTGGATACAAAACAATTGCACTGAAACACAGTCAGTCATTTCTAATAGTAAACAAAAAATACGCATAACAAATGTTGTGGAAAAAAATTTCTTGGAAAACAGAAAAATTTACCGTTAATAGTAATATTTCCATCAAAGGTGTAATTATTATTTTACTGAGAAACCCCTAATTGAGATTAACTGGAGAATTACATGCATCACAATAATTAGTGCCAGCGGGATAACAATGAAAATCTCAACTAATGGGTGCAATTCTATGTAAATGTTGTTATTGGCGTTGCTGTAAATGCTGGAACGGAAACAGGTAATCTAAACATTGAAGCACTGAATGAACATTTGTTAGAAATGCCTCCCTATGGCATTCATAGAACATTCATTTTCATTTGAACTTCCATCTTTGTATTGCTTATCCTTTTGTCCAGTATTGGCGTTCTTCCAGAGAAAAAACTCAAATTCTTACTACTCGGCTTGGCTGGCAGCGGAAAAACCGAGATAGCCCACTATCTAACGGAAAAGCAACGTCTAGACTACGAATCAACAAATGGAGCTTACAACTATACAATGAAGTGCCTGGATGCTCAGTGTTCGATAACGGAAATTGGAGGCAATGATGATATTCAGAAAATTTGGCATCATTATTATGCAGGGGTGAGTAGTGAGTGTGGTTCGGTGGTTGTTTTATAGATTCATGCAACGTTGTGAACCCAACGACGTCACATTGTAAATCATAGAAAAGAAGTGCAAAAGTCAGAGAAAGATTTTCAATGTAAATAAATCTTAGTTTGGCCAACTAAAGACCGTTCAATTTGAATTGTGGTCAAATTGCCAAGAAGTTATATTGTGTACGGAGTATCTGAAAGGGGATAGTACAACATGTGTTTATTAAAATTGAAAGAATTAACTATGTATATATATTTTTGGCTCTCACTGTATAAAACATCTTCCTAGTAAAGGAATCATTATTGATTTACTCCTTAGGGTATCTCCCAAATAACGCTACATTCAACATTTCAGGCGGCGTCAAATCGGGCGAACGCGGTGGCCAGTCTAAATCATCACTTTTCGACAATAAACTGCCCGGAAACAAATTCTTCAGAAAATCTATTGTTATGCGACTTGTGTGCGGTGGAGCGCCGTCTTGTTGAAACCAGAACTGCCTTAGTGGCGTAAAAACGGCAATTTTGCTTATTTACGGTCCCATTTAATGTGAAATGGGCTTCATCGGGCATGATAATTTTGTTCCAAAATTGCTCGTCATCTTCGGCCATTTCGATGACTCTTTGGGCTCATTCCAATTGACGTGGCTTGTCCCCAGGCAACATTCTTTGCGTCAATTGAATTTTGTACGGGAAAAAATGCAAATCAATGCGAATAATCCGTTGTAAAGTGGACCGAGCCATGTCCAACTGCTGAGAACGGCGTTTTTGGGATGTTCTTGGGGACCTCTCAACACTGGCTCGTACGGCAGCGATATTCTCGGCCAATCGCCTTGGTCGACTTTCACATGGCCTCTTCGGATTAGAAAGAGCGTTACCAGTCGAAAATTTTTCGTATAAACGCTTAATGGTGTTTTTAGAAGGCGCACTTCTCACATTTTTTAATGTTTTAAAAGCACGTTGAGTTTTCACAATTGACTTCTTCTGTTGAATGTAAATTTCAACTATTTCAGAGCGCTCGCGTGGCGTGTATTGGTTCATGGTAAAAATCTGCTTGGACTGACGCTTCAAACACGGTATGTCATTAAGCAATGTGACATCTCTGTCAAAACTTATGGCGTTGTCAGGTGGGTCAGTCGAATATGGACAACCCTGTATTATCCGACCCCACATTTTCCGAAAGGACACAAACTGTTTATACGAACGACTCGAATGGAATGGTGTGTGTCTATGTTTATTTACATTTTTATACCCTCCACCATAATATGGAGGGTATATAATTTTGTCATTCCGTTTGTAACACATCGAAATTTTCATTTCCGATTGGGGTTCTTGACCCTGTTTTTCAACCGAATTCTTTGAAATTTGGTACGTTCTTATTGGGTACTAAATGTCTCCACCAAAAATTATGAGTATAGGTCCATTTTTTCTGGTAGCCCCATATAACGGCACCTCCTAATTTACAGTATTTTGGGGATATTGATCGTATTTTTCCACCGAATTGGCTGTAATTTAGTATTTTGAGTCCTTAATAGGTACCAAATTTCTCCACAAAAAATTATGAATATAGGTCCATTTTTTCGGGTAGCTCCCATATAAGGGTACCCCCAATATTCGGTATTTTGGGGTTCTTGAGCACTTTTTTTTAACGAATTCGGTGCAATTTGGTATTTTGTAGTCGTATACGGTAACAAATCTTCCTACCCCCATATAAGGGTATCCCCAAATTTCGCAATTTTGGAGTTCTTGAGCTCGTTTTTCAACCGAATTAGTTGCAATTTGGTATTTTGTAGTCGTATATGGCAACAAATCTCCCTACCAAAAATTAATAATATTCGCCCCCTTTTTTGGGGGGCGAATATTAGGCCTAGCCCCTGTGTGGGAGGTATCGGAAGGAGTGGACCGATAGTCCACATCTTCGAACCTGAACTAAGTTTGGAAGAAATAATAAGATAGGCACAGGTTGGATGAAATCAAAATTTTCTGAAACATGGTTCACATTATGGTTTACATAATCGCGTTGTAGAAATGTCGGTATAGGTCCACTTTTTTGTACTTTCCCTACATTTTAATTTCAAGTACCTGTCATTATATCTATGGTGGAGGGTATCCAAAGTTCGGCCCGGCCGAACTTAACGCTTTTTCACTTGTTTCTCATTTATTTAATAGTTCTTATTTCCATTATTTCATTTCAGGCAATGTCCATCATCTATTGCTTTGATATGTCCACAACCAGAGATGATATGAAGAAATCCTTTAATTTATTAAATAAAATATTAAAAAATCCCTATGTCAGGGGTAAACCTGTACTTCTGGTTGCAACAAAAGCCGATCGGACAGATGAAAGTATACAATTGTATGATATTGAAAATGCCTTCCATTTGCATCGAATGGCTAGCATGTATGGCAGTACCATAAAACTATGTATATACGATCCTAGAACTGAGCATATGGAATCGAATAGAAATATAAATATTAAAGCTGGCCTAAATTGGCTGGTAAAATTCGTAGTGGATAATTACGATGTTCTACAAATACGTTTAAGCTGTGATAAAAATATGAAGGTAAGTGAAATAACCGAAATATTACAATCAATTGATTTCGATATTGATAATTGAAAATTGTCTTTCAACAGGACTGGGAACAAAATCGTGACAAACTTGTGAGCGAAGGAAAACTTAATTTTCGTGCATATCAAAGGTTTCCCAAAGCTTCCAATCGTCATAAAATTTGGCGTTTGTCTCACAAACGTTTACGACGTAGTTTAATACGACCACGTACTGCTCCACCAAAGTTAAGTTTCATCTCCACAATGAAACAGAATAATTTAGCTGATCCGAAAATATCTTCTTCCAACCAGATTTCATTATCTGACTCAAGTAAGGTGCCAAATGGTGTACTGCCGCATGAAGATACATTTACTGAAATTCGATGTAATATTTAATGTGACAAAAAAGTAAATAAATTGTTGTTCCTTTCGTAATTGGTATTTTCATAATTTACACAACATCGACATTATTAATTTTCTATGATCGAACAAAATATTATTTGTTTTTCTTAAGATATCATTTCCTTCCCAACATTTCCAATTTATGTATTTTTTTTTTACGTATCAGACGAAGTCAGGCGAAATATGATCTCAACTTGAAATTTAAGAAACTGTATTCATTGCTATCGGATTAACTACCACTGAACTTTTACTTTTGCGGATCTATATTCCGAATCTTTGTAATATTTCGCGATATTTGCACACTCTTGACCGACTAGAAGTCAACAGTTACACATTCGTACCATGGCAATTCAATCTATAATTCGTCAGATCCACTTCCCCATGGAAAATTAGTGCTGTTGGGCTTATAATTGTGGCGTATAGAGCGACTAGAAAATCAGACAAAAATAAAGTTGTCGAACCATTTCATAAACTAGAAATGGTAAATATGAACGTGTTACTACCACATCCGACTAGATGGTATTAATTTAAAGGCCAATCACGCCTCTTGGATATGATCTCAACTTATACCATCTATGTCTTTCTGGAATAAATAAATACATCATAGATTTTGCCACTTTTCAGACAAAAGTGTCCATTGATCCGCTAGATATTGACCGATCTTTCAGTCATGATTGCAGCCTCTGCAGCGAACTGAAAAACAAACGAAAATCATTTGGTCCATTTCATCCCTTAAATATTAAATAATCATTTCCAAAAACGATAGGGGTCTTCTCTGGCCAGAATCGGTCTTACATGCACTAAACTCTTGGGGCCACAACTAAGCTATAAAACCTGACAACATAGTTTTGTAGAGTATAACCCCATTTATGATAAAGATGGCAGATTATAGAAATAGAGGACATACATTTTATAAATGACAGCCCGTTGAAATAAATGATTGTCCTCTAAAAAAGTTCAACCGGTCCGAATTAGGGATATCCAACTGACAATCTAGTTTTTTATACCGATATGCTCCGAAGGTGAAAAGATTAGAACAGATAGCTAAATCGCTTTATAGGGACACACCCAAAACTCAGAACACGTCAGTTAACTATGATAATATAAAACCAGTAAGGAAAGTTAAAAAGTCGCGGGCAGCCGACTATATGATACCCCTCACCACTTTGGGCACATACAAGAGATGTTAATATATACAACATCCTGTAGATAGAACATACAAAGCGTCTTTGGGGGACCATTGAAATGGAATCGGGCGAAATTGTGAAATATGTGATAAAACATAGACATTTGAAAAAAATTGTATAAAAAATCCATAAACATACCGTTCTGAAATCAATGAAAAATCGCATGTCAAGCGGGTAAACTTGGATTCTTTGGAAGGACATGCATAAATCGACTCTGAAAGTGATTGTAGTGAACTTTCATTACAATTTTCAAATTTATTTTCTTTTTATTTTTTTTAAATTTTTCACCGAAATATAACGGTCGTATTTGTTCTTGATTCCAATATCTCAGTTGTTATCGATATGTTTATCCAAATTTCCCTTTTCGGAATTAACAATCTGGCAACATTTTGCATATTCGAAATTTTGTTCTTTGCAAAATATCCCCCAAAATTGATAGGTTGGAGGTTTCTTGAAGCACGTTGTTTCTAAACTCATTCTTTTCGCTAGAAATCATCATCAAGAACACTTTAAGCTACTCTTTAAAACCTCCATTCGAAAGTTTGATTGAATAGTAAAAATCCTAACCTTATAGAAATTCATCGATTATAATCAAATTTATTAATTCTTCTTTGAAGACTAATTACAAAAAAAAAAAAGGTAAATTTTATTTAAAAACACATAAGTGAATCAAGTGCTAACTTTCAACAAATTTAGGAAAAAATTGCGCCACCTGAAATTATAAAGGATAATCTCCATATTTTGGAGTTATCCGAGATTTTGGAGTTTTCTACATTTGTATCCTAGTCAAACAAAATCTTGCAGAGATAATCACGACCAATCCCAAAATCTGGGGATGTTCATGGTTCACAGTGCATATTCATCCCAACTATACGTGCATTTCATAAAACTTCATTTCGAGATATTTTGCGAAGAGCCGACAATTTTTACCCTGATCATATCCACCAGAAAAACACCATTTCACAAGTGGCAAAACTTTCATCATATTGCCTAAAATATATCACCACCACGGAAGTATCCAGGCCAGAATTACACATGGTTGTGAAATTATGTAACATGGCTGTAAAAATTTTGCACATACCTGTACAAAGATAATTTAAAATCAACAACTTCGGCCGTGAAATCGAAATTTTACATGAAAATTCCGTACTAACTTCTTGGCAATTATCAAATTTACATAATCTTCGAAATTTCATCGAACAAAGATTCCCCACTATTTGGAAGTCTTTCCATTTTAAACCTGATTCGACATCCCTAGCCTGCATTGGAACATCACCTGCTCCAAAAACAATTGATAAGTAAAATACTATCGCTTTCCCCTTTTTGAGGAGAAAAGAAAAAATGAAATATTAAATATCAACAACAAAATTCCATTCAACTTTATTGCTATTTTTTCATTGTCTTTTGATTCTACTCACTACAACAAAAATGCATGTTTCATAATCATTGATAATTTTGTCTTCTTCTTTTCCTAATTGCTGTTGTAACAACAACAATATGTTATTCTTCTATTCTCGTTTCTTTCTCAAAAATCTAGTTTTTGTGACTCGTTGTAATGAACGGTAGTAAAGTGATCATTTCAATTTTTTTCATTGAAGTAGACAAAAGGCATCAGTGATTATAAAACATACTTTAACAATAAAAACCATTTACAAATTTATTGCTCCAAAAGAAAATGAAAAAATAGCATGCAAAGATGTTTATCAAATAAAAAAAACTATATTAATATACAAATAATATTTTAGAATTTAAGAAAATTAATCCGAGATATACCACACAATTGAAATTAGTGATTAAATGCTGAAACAACAAACATAATCCCATATAAAATTATCGCAGCTTAACAACCATACATCGATCGCCATCAATTCACCATGATATAAAAAAAAGTTCCTTTCCAGTGGGCTTTTCCAGGATTGGCATTAAATGTGCTTAGCAAGTTGACAACATAGCAAATATCCGGTCTTGTGTTTTGAGCAGCAAACAGCAATGAACCCACGGCTTCCAAATATGGGACTTTTCTCATTTCCTCCTTATCTTCTTCAGTTGATGGACACATTTCAAATATGACAACTTTTGATTTATATCCACTGGAGAAGATATCGGTTTGCTATCTGCCATACCAAAACGCTTTAAAACTTGCTGTACATATTGTGATTGATCAATTTTGACACTGTTTTCTGTTCGTTCTATTTTCATCCCAAGTACAGATGTAGCTTGTCCCAAATCTTTCATTCGAAAATGTGTCGATAATTCTTCCTTTAATTTCTTGGTGACATCTACATCAGTTGAAAATACTAATACGTCATCCACGTATATAGCAACGAACAGAAACTGATTTGACTGTCGGTAATAATAAACACATTGATCAGTTTCACTTCTTTGTAATCCAAACTTCAACAAAACATTGTTCAGGGTTTTATTCCATACCCTACTAGATTGCTTTAGGCCATAAAGCGCTTTTCTCAGCAAACAAACTCGATCTGTACCATCTTCGTAACCTTCAGGCTGTTTCATGTAGATTTCCTCCTTAAGTTCACCATGGAGAAAAGCAGTTACTGCGTCGAGTTGGTGGATGTGCATGTCATACTTCACTGCCAGTGCCAACAAAAATCGAATCGATGAGTATCGCACAACAGGGGCAAATGTCTCTTCATAGTCGATTCCTTCTGTTTGACTACAGCCCTTTATCACTAATCTAGCCTTATATCGAGTGTTTGATCCGGATCCATCTGCCTTTGTTTTAAATACCCATTTAGATTTCAATGGTTTTCTTCCGTTGGGTAAATCTACTAACTCCCACGTTTTGTTATGTGCAAGAGATATTATCTCCTCATCCATTGCACTACGCCATTCCTTAACATTGTTTGACTTCATGGCTTCTTCCAATGTAGTGGGATCATTTGCAATGAATGTTGCAGCACAAAAACTATAATTCGCGATGGAAACATCGGCATTCTCGACAACTTCCGCTGCACCATCATGTTGTGGTTCTTCTACACACACCTCCTTTTCGTTGTCATCGATGACTTCTACTAGAGTATTTCGAATCTCATTAGTAAAATTTGTCCCAGTTCTACATACCTGTTTCTCCACAAATACAACATCACGGCTAATTATTATTTTCTGTGTCTTCGGATTGAATAAACGATACGCCTTACTCTCTTGACTATACCCAACGAAAATACATTCTTCTGACTTGGCTTGAAGTTTCGATCTCTTCTGCTTAGGAATATGGACGAACGCCTTACAGCCGAATACTCTTAGGTGCTCCAAATTCTGTTCTCTGCTAGTCCATAATTCTTCAGGACTCTTCGATTGTTTTCTGCATGGAATTCTGTTTAAAATATATGCTGCGGTAACAGAAGCTTCAGCCCAATATTTGTTTTTAAGTCCAGCATCCAAAAGCATACAACGTACTCGATCCATTATGGTGCGGTTCAATCTTTCCGCCACGCCATTTTGTTGCGGAGTGTACGGTGCTGTTTTCTGATGAATTATTCCAGAGTCAGACAAAAACTTTTGGAAAGGCGCATTGACGTACTCAGTTCCATTATCTGATCGAAATATCTTTAACTTCTTGGAACACTGATTCTCAGCCATATTCTTAAAGTCCTTAAAGGCTTCAAAGACATTCGATTTATTTTTAATAGGAATTAAGAATACTTTTCTGGAGTAGTCGTCCACGAATGTAACAATATACCGAGCGCCAGAAAACGACTTTGGTTCAAATGGACCCATCACATCAGAATGTACAAGTTCTAGTAATTCCGTAGCTCTGTGACCTTCGTCCTTAAACGAGGCTCT